TTGGAGCCCCCTGGGGCCTCATCCATCCGATCTCCGCTTCTCTCCCGGAGTCCCCCGTCGTCCCAAAGATCCGTCTTAAACCTTATCAGAGGTATCTTTGGCGTTAATTTGGGCTATATTGAAGCCTTCTTGGAGCCCTCTTGAAGGCCCCATGGAGCCACGCTAGACCAATGTTGACGCCCAAAGGACAGGCGTAAACGCGCACATTTTTGGGGTATAGATGTATGTATCAAAGTGTGTACATATTTACTAGCGGCCCATCCCGCCACCGTGCCGGAGTTCTAGGTCAGAGGCCTCTGGGGGTGCCTGTGGGAATCGCTTCGGGGTTCTCTCGGAAGCCTCCCGAATCTAGTTTTGACAAGTCGTGGGGTCCTTTGGGCGGTCTCATGGGGGCCTTTTGGGGCCTGAGACTTGGTCCTCTTGGTGGCCTCCTGGAGCTTGCGGGGGGCCTCTTCGGGGCATGCCGGCGAACTGTTTTCGCGGCCTCTTGGGCCGTCTGAGGGCGCTCCTGGGGGCTAGTTGGACCGTCTCGGGTCAATCAGTGGGGCCTTTTGGGCCGTCTTTGTTTTTGTGTGTTCTAGGTGTTTGTTCTGGGTGTCTGTCCTTGCCACCCCTTTCTTGATATTTAGACCAACCGCGTTTGGCAGTGGTTGTACGGCACGGTAGTGTTATGTGCTACAGCTGCTTGTTATTGAAGCCTGGTTACTCATCGTATACACATGTTTGCCACAAGTGTGTGTGTGTGTGTGTTGCCAACTCCTGCTCGTGATGCATGTAGTGCTATGTGTGATTGGCGCCTGTCCTTGCTGCATGATGCTGATGCGTCTTGTTGGTGCGCGCGTGTGTGTGTGTGTGTGTGTCACCGACGTGTGTTTTTCATGTCGACATTCGGGCCTGCATTCGGTGTATGTGCTGAGCGTCTGTCGATGCTGTTATCCATGTACTGTCGGTCCTCTACGTATTGTCTTGATAAGTTTCAGGTTGAAATTTCATATTGGTGTCTATTCGTGATATCGTCTGCTGGTGTGGGTTATAGGTGTACGTCCCTGCTGTGTGTTTTCATTTTTCGTCCAAAAGATCTTGCACTTTTGGATTTCTCGCTTCTGTTATGAGGAATTGGGCTGGTGTGCCGCTCTGGCGGCTATGTTGTCGCCGTCGCCGCTTCGTCGCCGCGCGTCGTTTGGGCCGGTGTGCCTCTCTGGCGGCTATGTTGCCGCCGTCGCCGCCCTGTCGCCGCTTCGTCGCCGCCCGTCGTCTGGGCCGGTGTGCCGCTCTGGTGGCTATGTTGCCGCCGGCGCCGCCCCGTCGCCGCCCGTCGTCTGGGCCGGTGTGCCGCTTGCTGCCGTCGCCGCTTCGTCGTCGCCCGTCGTTTGGGCTGGTGTGCCGCTTTGGCGGCTGCGTTGCCGCTGTCGCCGCCCCGTCGCCGCATAGTCGCCGCCATATCGGTTGCTCCACACAGATTCTCTTTTCTCAAAAAGTAATAGGATCTCTCTCCCCCCAAAATGAACGGCCCCCCCCATCGTTGAATTCATACCACGCCAGCCAGGCCAATATTGCCCCTCTTCATCCTTTGCAAAAGTATCATGCGCGCGCAGCCTTTTTATCACATCTCATAAGTTTCCTAGACTCCCTTGCAGCGAACGGGACGAAGTGCACACGCGCGCGTCGTCGAGCGCGCATGCTTAAATCCCTCAAAATCAAGGGTTTCGTAATGATTTCAAAATCGAGTGTCCCGAAACATATACCACACATGGGTTCCCAACAACGACTTCCAACAAAAAGCATGCGATCGGGCTCTTATGCATTCTTAAGAAAACGTTGGGTATAATGCTTTTCTCTTCAAAGTGTTCATAACATGCTACCAGAGGGGCCAGTCGCGCGCGCATGTCGGATTCGCAAGAACGCCCTTGCGCGCGTGTTGTCGCAAGAACCCCCTCGCAACACATGTGACGAAGTGTTCACGCGCGCGTCGTCGCGCGCGCATGCCGGAATTTTTCAGACACCCACAAGTTTCGTCAGGATTTCCAGTTCGAGTGCCCCGAAACATAAAACCGATTGTGTTGCACCATCAGTTCTCGAACCAAAACCTGCGCTCGCAGTCTGGCGAATTCTTGAGAGCACCGTGCGTTCTGTTCCCCAACAGTTCCATTGCAATCTTCCGAACGGGCCTCCCGCGCCGCAGGTCGAAATTCTTCGAACACCTTGGCGCGCCTGCTGTGGGGGGTCACTTCTCCTCCCCCTTCTCCTCCTCCTTCTCCTGCTCCTGCTCCTGCTCCTCCTCCTCCTGCTCCTGCTCCTGCTCCTCCTCCTCATCCTCATCCTCCTCATTCTCTTCCTCTTCCTCCTTATCCTCCTGATCCTCCTCCTCCTCCTCCTCCTCCTCATCCCTCCTCTTCGATCCTGGTCAAATAGTTCCATGCGGGTCACTCTCGCGCGTCGGCCGCGCGCGCGCCGTCACTGGCCTTACCGTCGTCGATGTTATCATCGCCGCTGGCATCGCTACCATCATAGTCGCGTCTGCCGTCGTCGACGTTGCCATAATACCGCGCTCCCCCAACTCGCCGGGACGCACAGCAGTGCCCGTTGGAAAGTGCCCAGCGGGTGGTTCCACCGCGACCGCGTCGGTAGTGCCAAACTATCTGGCCGCTGTGCACGCGAGCATGCGCGGGCCAGCGCGGCCGCAAAGGTGCAGCAGCCAACTCCAACCACTCATCGCAATCGCCGCCGCATGGGTTTTGCAGACCAAGTCGCGGGCGGGTGGGTGGGATGATTGCGCGAGCAGTGGATTGGACGACTCACTGCGGACAGATATTCGTTACACCGCGCAGGCTTTCTTTGTCTTTCAATAATATTAGGACCCCCCCCCCAGAATTCACGGTACCCCTTTTCGCATTGCAGTGTATATATGTTGTTGGCCCATCTTCCATCAGAAATATGAACAGCCACCATCCTAGGCAGCACGGTCTGGGCACCCTTTTTTTTGTTTTTGTTTTTTCTTTTTCATCGTGCGAACGCGGACTCGTGTGCCAAAATCGCTCGCAACAAAACAGGACGAAATGCACGCTCGCGTCGTCGCGCGCGCATGCCAAAATCCTTCGTACATTCGCTCTTGCAAGGAGTTTTTTAACCGAGTGTCCCGGACACAGATAAACAACACATGGGCTCGCAACAAGAATCTCCAACCTAAGCAAACAATTTGCACCCGCGCCCTTGCAAATCCTAACGAGAACCATCGGTTTCCCAAATTTTCGTACAATGCTTCCAAATGGGCCTCTCGCGCGCACATGTCGAAGTCGTTCGAACGCCCCCCTGCGCGCGTGCTGCCCCAATAACCCGCTGCAGCAACATCGGGACGCAGTGCACACGTGCGTGTCGTTGCGCGCGCGCCGCAATCTTTCAACATTGTTCGGCTTTGTTTGGATGTCAAAATCAACTGTTTCGAAAACATATGACAAACACGTGGGTTGCAACGCCACTCTTCACAAAAAACCCTGCGTTCGCGGCCTTGCGAATCCTTGCGACAACCATCGTTTTGTTCAACAAATTCATGCACTTCTGCAGACGGGCCCCTGACGCCGCATGTCGAAATCATTCGAGCGCGTTTTGCGCGCGTGCTGGGGAGGTGGGAGGCACGATCCGTGCCAAATCACACCATGCGGGCCATTCGCGCGCGTCGTCCGCGCGCGCGCCTTGCGAACGCTTTCCAAAACTGGCATCCATCACCGATGCGAGGACGCCGTCATCGTCGTTGGCGTGATCAGCATCGGTGCCGTCACTGGCCTTGCCGCCGTCGTGGTCAGCATCGTCACCAGCATCGTTTTTACCATCTTCGTGTCTACTGTTGCTGACGTTGCTATGGTACCGCGCCCGCCCAAGTCGCCGACTCGCACGGAAGTGCCCGCTGGGAAATGCCCCGCGGTCAGCGCCGTCGCGGCCGCGTCGATCGGGCCAAACCGGCTGACCGCTGCGCGCGCACGCGCGGGCTAGAGCGGCCGCAGAGATGCACCAGCCAACACCAAACACTCACCGCATTTGCCGCCGCATGGACTTGTGCAAACCATATTGCGGGCGTGTGGGTATGATGATTGCGCGAGCATTGGAATTGGTAACTCACTGCGAACAGGAACCATGTACATCACATGCATTGCACCACAACGATTTCTACACACAGTTTGGGGCCCACGGTGGCTAACACCTGGTTTGTTCACGTATATTGGATTGTATAGGTTTTCGGAAATTGGGTTTGCTGCGCGCTTCTCTCTGGTAGTACGGGTCTCTCTTCATTGTGTATGTTGGTGGTGTGCATTCCTGGCGTATGTGATCGGTGTATATGTTGTTCGTTATCTGTGCTCGTCATGTTTGTCGTAGACCAAATTCGGACAACTAGATTCCCACGGACCACTCGTTTTTTCTTAGCCAGCATAGAAGCCTCGCGAGGCGGGGCTTTCAGGCAACATCCGGCATCCTCCGGGATTGGCGGCGTTGGTATGCATAGCTGGCCGACCGATTTATGTTCAGGTGAAAAACCCTATATGTCAGGGTGGGGCAGCACCTAGGATGCTTACGTGTCTGGATGAGGTCTCGCGCGGAACGGCAGCGTTGGGACGACTTCCGCCCGAGGGGGGGTGATTCGGATTTGTCGAGCGTCCCCCCCCCCCACCCAAAGTTCCACATCGTATCTTCACACCCGGACGAGAACATTTCCCCGCTTCCCATCGTACATTCTCCTCCCTCTCCTCCCCTTCCTTACCCCTCTTGTCAGTAAAACCCAGCCGGGACTCGGTTCGCGCGCTCCGTCGCACGGAAGTTGGAAACCCAGCGACGTCGAATCTAACATCAGCGCACGTTGCGGGTAGCCCCATGCGGTGTGCAGCCACAAAGAGAACAAGTACAGAGAAGAGGGAGTGGGGCCGACACGTGGCTGCCGCGGCACAGAGCGGGGCGGATACTTGCACCGCCGGCTGATTGTGCACCGCGACGTCAAGGGGGACAATTTTCTGATGGACCGGCCCGACATTCTCGACCCCGCGTGCAGGATCGTGCTCACGGACTTCGGCGCGGCGTGCCGATTGGAGAGGCCCGGCGAGCGGCTGTCAAGTGTGGTGGGCACCAGAAAGTTCTCCCCGCCCGAGTTCTTCGATAGGAACTATGGCGCAAAGGTGGATGTTTGGGCTCTGGGTATCGTGATGTACGGCCTTGCAACTGGCCGCTTCCCGTTCCGGAACGAAATGGACGTTCGCAACAAAGCCATCTTCATCCCAAGGACAGTCTACCCTCTCTTCGCAGACTTTATCATGAGGATGCTGGTAAAAGACGAGTCCACCCGATTGGACAGCGACCAGGCCATGAACCACCAGTATCTGAATCCTGGCCGCGGCGCCGCGCAGGAGTCTGCGACGCCAGCGGCGCTGGCGAGACCAGAGCAGGGACCCGCAGAAGAGGTCCTGCGCGTGGACACGCCTCGGTCTCGCGCGGAAAAGGCCGTGGGCAGAACACATGCCCGTACCCTGAGATGCTGGCGTTGCATTTGTTTGGGAGCGGGCGGTCTCGCTCGGATTCGGGCCCCGGGATTTACAGATCGACCTGGCTGCAAAATTGACCCAAAATCATCACGCGTCCATGCGACCGCGTATCCACGAGATCGCGCCCTGGAATTCAGACCGCGAGGGGTTCGGACCCAAATCGCCGACGTCGTGACTTCTGCATGGCGTGGACACTCAGTGGTCTGGACCTGGACCCCTTCCTGGGGACCGGCTTTTATCGTGAGTTGTTTTTTGACGGTCCCGAGGCTCGGTAAGGTCCCCCAGAGGCTGAATCCAACGGACTTGTCCCGTCCTTTTTTTCCAGGAGGGAAAAAAACACAGACACAATTAATCGCCGATTCCCAGGAAAATATAGGAAAATAACGGAAGTGGGGGGGGAAGACAATAACCCTGATGATATTGGAAATTATGTTGAATCTTGTTATTTGTGTGTGTGTGTGTTTCTTTGTGTGTTCCAGGGCCCCTTCATTTTTATCACGACGCGAGGGGGGTCTGGGATATGCAGACGCTCGCTGGTCGCGAGAAGGCCCTCGGCTGCGGCAAGAGCCTGGACGCCAGCACGGCCAGCACGGCCGAGCCGCTCAGCGGGTCCGACAGCAGCCCCAAGGAGTCGGGAGAGCACGCCCTCCCAGGCAAGTCGACAGAGGGAGCCTTTTTCGGTTCACGCGGCATTGTCATTCGAGTGTGCCGGTCCATTCCCCCGTCGGTTTCGCTGGTCGACGTGAGACTCGCTGGATAGTGTGTGGTGTTTCCGGGCGTCGATTAGCTACTCCGCTGGGGTCGACTCGGAATAGGGTGCCGTGCGCACGTGGAGTGCCCCTGGCACCTTTCGTTGAAGAGCGTTTTGTAAAAGGGTGTCCTGACAGTCTTCGGTACAGGTTGGCACCGACACCCACATCGGTCGTTACCTTCACCGAGGGAGGATGATCCCGATCTTGGTGATGGTTGTAATGTTCATTCTCCTTAAGTCGCCGAGTGGTTACAATCAGCACCAACATCTAAGATCATCTTCCCCCGTATTGTAAATACCTTACGGCTGGTGCCGCCAACCTTGAAGAGGGACGACGGCGACGACGACCCCTTCGACTCGATTACGGCAGTTCTCGATTTCCCTCTGGCTGGAATGCTTGAGGAGGATGGCCCAGGGAATGGAGGGAAAGTGGCGACGACGACAACGACTCCAACGGAAATGCTTCTCACGCACTCTGACAGGGTCGGCGGAGTTTGCTACAGGGCGTTTTGCTAATGAGTGTTCTGTCACTCTCCGAAGGATTGGCGGCCAGCCCGGGGGGGAAGTGAGAATTGCTCAGAAGGCTCGAAAGTTCCCCCGCCTTCTGAGCAGGTTCAGAGGAGGAGAATCAGAGGAGGAAAAGGTACCCCCCTACCGCTACCCTTCCTTCGTTTTCGCTTGTTTGGGCCTCTTCGGAGGCCCTCGTGGCCACCGCCGGGTTTGCCTCGCAATTCCAGTCAAAACGCGCCCGGTGAAAGGTCTGGGGAGTAGCGGTATCAGATCTTTTGGTATCCCCATTCAAAAACATCTTAGACGGCCTGAAGGCTTCTGAGAAGCCCCCGCCGTCTTCTGATCAGACCTCTTCCCTCTTGTGTCCCCCGTCGCTCGTCGGTGGCAGCGGGAAGGGCCGTGGTCGGAAGTGGCGGGAAACGGTATAGTCCGGCTGTTGAAACAAGGGGTGACACATAGGGAGCGAAGCCCTTACTTGTACGGCGGATGACGGGAAGCGTCTTCGACGTACGAGAAGCGAGCTGGCCGTTGTGGCTGAATCTGCAAAATATTTAATTATCTCATACTCGTAGGGGGTGGCGGATGACGGGAAGCGTCTTCGATGTACGAGAAGCGAGCTGGACGTTGTGGCTGAATCTGCAACATAAATTATTACCTCGTACTCATAGGGGGTGGCGGGTTGCACGGGATTGCGGGTTCGCGGATGACAGAAAGCGTCTTCGAGGTACGAGAAGCGAATTGGTTGTTGTGGCTGAGTCTGTACAATATTTGAAAATCTCTTACAACCATGGGGTGGCGGATTGCAGAGTCTCGTTCATCAGTGGGTCCCCCAAGCAGCGATTTCGCTTGAGACATCTTCAGGAAACTGAAACCTTCGCGACATCGCATTTAACACAATTCAGCGTTTCGCTCGAGACATCCTCGAACAAGGCGATCTTCGCGATATTTTCTGTTCTGCAAAAATTGGGGTTTCGCTTGAGGCATCTTCACACACATGAGTTGTCGACGGAGGTATTCTATTGCCGTATATGTTGAAAACTACGTTTTCGCTAGGGACATCCCTAGGAAATGCCTAGCAGCACGGCGGATCAGAAACAAACACACGGCAGAACATATGCATCTCGCTTGGGACATCCTCAGCCACATGAGATGTTCACAACATCGTCTTGACATCGTTCTTGAAAGGTTTCAAGAGGAAGGGATGAGAGCCCAAAGAGGGCCTCAATATGGCTCCAAGAGTTCCCTGATGACTGCATGACGATTTCGCCAGGGACATCCTCAACAAATGAAAATATACATGTTTTGTAGTCCGACTTGTTTTCCTGGAGCGGAGCCTCTCGATCGGTATATGTGAATCCGATCCGTGGTGATGCGGTGGCTCAACAGCCGTTCGGAAGGGGAACGCTCTGGCCCGGCCTCCGCGTTGGATGCTAGGCGCCCTCTGCGCCACAGGGCCCTGGCTCGGGCAGCTGGGAGCCGCCGCCCTGCCTGGCCTGCCCGCCCTGCCCGGCGGCGGAGCTCGGGTGCGAACCCCTCTGTGGCTCGTGCTTGGCGTGCCCGCCCTGCCTGGGCTGCCCGGCGGTCAGCTGGGCCGCGGCCCCCGGAGGCCTCTTGCCCAGCCTGCCCAGCGGCGGATTGCGAGGAGGCGCCGGCGGCGGGTTGCCCCGTGCCCGCCCCGACTGCTTGCTGGGGCTTCACGGCTGGGCTGTTGCTCGGCCTGGCCGCTGGCGTGCCGCTGACGGTGGTGGCGACTGCGAGCCTGGTGGGCTTGGCGCGGCTCGCGAGGCGCGCGGGCTCCGCCTTGTTCCAGGGCGACGACGAGCGCGGCCCCTCTAGCGGGGGCGCGCGCGACGGCCCCAGGCAGCTTCGGCTTCGCGCGATTGGGGCCTGATGGCCGCAGGCCCTCAGACGCTGGACGTCGCAGAGAGCCAGGTGTGCATCAACTTCGACGACGACGACGATGACGACGACGACGACGACGACCACCACTTCCGATGCCGCCACAGGCTGCACATCGTCTCTGGCCATGCGCCGGGCGAGTGGGTCGCGGCGACGCCCGACGGCGGGATCCTGGCGCTTCAGTTGTCGTCTCACCTCGTGGTCGCGCTGAGTCGGAACGCCCCGTTCCCCCAGCGCGTCCGCGGGAGCGTCGACGCCTTCGGCGACCTGGACCAGGTGATCGCCCTTCGGCACCGAAATCGAGGCGGGATTGGCGGCCAATGTCGACTGCTTCCGGGCCCGCGACGCGGTGGGGATTGCGCTGATCGACGACGAGATCAGCAGGGTGGCGGTCGAGAGCGTGCAGCCCGAGGATCAGCCCAAGTGGCTTGCCGAGACGCGGCGCTGACCTGGGCGCGACCCTCGGGTTCTACCGATCCCGCCGCCCACGCGCGGGAAGCGAGTGCAGCTGGGGGCCGTCATCTCCGCCCTCAAGCCGTAGGGCGACCCGCCGCGGCCCTTCCGTGGCCCGAAGGCGCTCGCGGAGTTCTTGGAGGCGGTCGACGCGTCGGGGCCCCTTCTGACGGCGCACTGCGGGCACTGGGTGGAGCAGTCCGGCGTGGCACGCCAGAGTGGGCCCCCCATCGAGCTGAAGGTGATGTTGGAGGTCCTCCACCACGCCTTGGTGCACGACCGGCTCGACGCGCGAACTTGGCGAGTTTCGAGCTGATGGCGCGTCGCGCCCTCCAGATCCAGAGCGCGGTGAAGAGGTGCCCGCGAAGCCCGACGTCCGAGGGCCTCGACCTGATGCTGAGCAGCGAGCTGGACGAGTCGGGTGGCGCGGTGACCTCGAGGTTCGACGCCCTCATCGCCGAGGAGCAGCAGGACCGCGGGATCATCCTGAAGCAGGAGCGGCTCTGGCGCGAGCAGTAGGACCACGAGATGCAGCAGTGCGAGAGGTCCCCGGGCTCTGCCGGGGCAGATGACAGGCGACGGCCAAAGAATAATGCGCCGAAGGAGAAGGCGAAGACGAAGGCCATACCTGGAGACGGCTGAGGGCGCCATGTCGGCGCCTTCCTGGCCCGGCGCTCCGCCGGGCATTTCCTCGCCCGCGACGCCGCCGTCAGCTCCTTCGGCGCGGCGCGGGCGGTCCTCCGAGGGGGTCGCCTCCGAGGGCCATCCTTCTCTGTCTGTTTCCTCTCCCAGAGGGCGGCCGCCTGTTTCGCGCTGCCCGACGCGGAGAACGCGCCGCGCTGCCTCGGCACCCGGCCCAGCGCGCCGCCCGTTCGGGCGAGCGCGATCGGTGGAGTGTCGAGGCCATCTCGTCCACCAGCGCGCTCAGCAACGCCCGGGCTGGACGGCCGCTGTTGGCGCAGCCGCCAAGCAAGTTGCCGCCGACCACCGCCCGTGAGTCCGCGGTCGGACGGGCCTGGATCGCGCTGGAGCCCTCCAGGAGCTCCTTCGGTGCAAAGACATTCACAGCGGTGCTGGCGAGTGCTCGACGCGTCGCGACTACGACTCAGGGACTCAACGGTCTTCCGGACCTCGGCTGCACCTATCAAGATTTGGGGCGTGGCCCCACTTTTGATTCTGAGGTGGCGCGGCCTGCGGCGGACGTCGCTCCCGATGAGGAAAATCGTCGAGACGCGCTGGGGCCCGCCGCTCAACCCGCGCTCGAAGGCGAACCGTTTCAGGCTCGTGGAATTCCTGGCCAGGATGGCGGCGCGTGGCCTCGTCGACGGTCGTCGGCGTCGGAGGGCTTACGTCGGCACGTTCTTCGTGGCAAAGAAGAACAGGTACATCCGCGTGGTCGTGGATGCCCGACAAGCTAATCAGCTTCACCGACTGCCTCCCCGGACCACTCTGGCGTCGGGGGAGGCCCTGGGTGCGATCAACCTGTTCGACGCCGTGGACGCGTCGCCCTAGGACCTGGCCGACTTCGACGGCTGTTTCGACTCTCTGCGCGCTGGCCCGGCGGACCTGCAGGACGGCTTCCACCAGTTCAGCGACCCATCTCGTGGATCCTGGATGTGCTTCGATGTGGGGGTTACCGCGGACGTGCTCGGGATCACGTCGATCTACGACCACAGCCTACGCCCCTGCGCCCCCGTGGGCCGGGGCGAGCTGGTCGGGCCCTGCTTCGCTGCGCTGCCGATGGGCTGACGCTGGGCGCTCTGGGTCGATGTGCCATGAGGTCCTCGTAGGCCCGACGGGCGCCGCGGGTCTGGCAGGAGTTGCGCGGGTCTTCGACAAGGCTCGCGCTCCGCAGATGCACAGTGGCCGGGTGGCCACGGCGCCGTGCGTCGACAATGGCAACATGGTCTCCTTGTCGGCGTCGTCCCTCAACGCGAGGCTCGCGACGCTCGCGGCGGGGCTGGGCCAGCGCGGCCTGCGCTGGCACGAGCTCGAGTGGGCCCGGCCGGGTCTCGCC